CAAGTTTTGCTTTACTCTGTGAAACTAGTTCATTTATTTTAATCATGCTTGATAAATGTGCTCATCTCAGAGGCTCTGTGTCGTAAAGGCTTAGATCCTGGCAGCAGACGGGGCATCGGAGTATCTCACATTGATTTTAGCTTCTGGTTACAAGCCAGCGCTTGGATGGAGAACACTCCCTTCTACTTTCCTTAATTGTTGGCAGCGCCGCGAGACGGCAAAGAAAGCAGGCTCTGTGATTATCTGGCTGATCACCCTGCAGCAGATACTCTAAAGGCGCAATGTTTGGTCCGTCACAGTTTCATTCAGGACTAAAGAGCAGCGGTTTATTTATTAAATGCATGCCTGATGTGTAGGAACAGAAATATAGAGCCTACAACAAGAATCAGTGATGAACTTCCTTCTTCTTTGGATATATATTCTGCTTTTTCTAGAAATGAAATATCTCTAAAAGTCTTTGTATTCTTCGTTCTTAGCTAATCCTTCCAACATCACCTTATTATCTGTGTTTAATTCTGTTCAAGTTAAACTTGCAGAGTTGGAAGAGAGCCTCAGACATGGATAGGTTTGAAAAGAGGTCCCTCTAGAGGACAAAATATATATTGCAGTTTACAATATCCTCAAACAGGAAATTTAAAGTCTCTTTTAAAGATTTTCAGTTTTGATATTAATAATGATAATAATAGACAATTTAATTTGTTTTACTGAAGAGACATAATAACTTTTTAATGAAATCCTGAGAGATAAACTGAGAAAGTTTATTTTCTGACGTTTTTGTCACTTGCTTTTCAGTACGATACTTTGCTATTTTGGTAAATCCACACATAATCACTGAATACTTCCTGGACTTTGAAGAAGTGTTTTCATCCTGCTCTATAGTCACAGTTTTGGGCAGTTTTTTCCCAGATCTCCCAAACAATACGATGATCTTCAGTCTTTCGTTTCCTAAAGGATTTCTGCCTGCTCTTCTCTTGCAGACGAGTAGCTTCCTTAACATCTCACCTCTCTGTGTTCCTTCATGAGTTCCTCCTAACTGCTGCCAGAGAGAGCAAGCTCTGCAGCACAGGCCACATGATTCTCTGGCCTCCCCATGATGACTGTAGCTGGTATTTTCCTGTAGCATATAAATGAAGACGTGTGGAAAAATCAGGAAACACTGTAGAATATTTTATAATTTAAAAAGAAAAGTTAACTTCTGAACAAGTGATTTAACTACAGATAAAACCCAAAAAAGAGAACCTTGTTCTATTCATCAGAATAGGATTTATTATCATCACATTGTCACAAGTACAGAGCAAAGAAATTCACTTTCACTGCTTTTTTTTTTTACACATTGTATTCCTTAAGCTGGATTTTTATTTGGAGAAAATTCAGCTGCAGATAATTTGGCTGCAAATGTGTTGACCTTTTGGTGAACTCAAGCAGAAGCAATCAACACTCGATGCAGCCGAGCAGCTTCTAGCCGACGCGTCACTGCGGTTAATGTTAGTTGTAAAACTCATTTCTTTCAAATCTAAAACATTTTCTGCAATAGAATAATAGAATTTCTTTTTTTTTTTTTGACTCCGTTTCCATAAACATCACATTAAAAAGTTAGTTTTTTTCCATGTCATGAATGTCTCTTTTATTTTTTTAACAACTGCAAACTTTAAATAAGTATTTCGGCAGCAGAATCCCAGGGAGCTGATGGAGCAGGTGCTTTTCGTCCCTCTAACCTTCGATCGATGCTTCCTCTTCCGTCTCCCTTTCAGCTGACGGAGACGTCGTCCCGCTACGCCCGTAAAATCTCGGGCACCACGGCGCTCCAGGAGGCCCTCAAGGAGAAGCAGCAGCACATTGAGCAGCTGCTGGCCGAAAGGGACCTGGAGCGAGCTGAGGTTGCCAAGGCAACCAGCCACATCTGCGAGGTGGAGAAGGAACTGAGCGTCCTCAAAGCGCAACATGTACAGGTATGAAAACAGCCAATGACCAGAGTGGAGGTTCAGGTGTGTTTAAGCCAGCGACCTGAAGCAGTCGTCCTCTTTGTGTCCACAGTATGTCGCTGAAAACGAGAGCGCCATGCAGCAGGTCCAAACCATGCTGGCCAGCACACAGAAAGACAAGCTGGAGCTGGTCAATCAGCTGGAAGAGGAGAAGAGGTGATGCATTCACTTACCTTCTGTGTCCCAAACTAAGAGATCTAAAAGATTCATCAGAATTGATCCGTTTTTGCTCCAGTTCACAGCGAGCTCAGCCATCTTTGGAAGGTTTGGTGTTTGTAAGACGGAAAAAAGCCTAGGGGTGCACCGATAAATCGGCCCCGATTTCCTTAATTTAGGGTGATTGGT